CATTTTGAAAGATAGATCCAGCACAGAAGTAAAACAGTTCTGCCAAGACTACTCCCATTGCTCCCGTCCCAGGTGTGAAAAAAATTAGCATTACATGTGGAGGCTGCTTGTTCCATGGAGCAAAGGGCCTTGTCCCTACATCTGCCAACTCTTCCTGTGATGCATCTGTTGAAATCATGACTGGGAAACATGTTTCAACAGTGGTATGGCAAAACACTGCCTTTCATGGTGTGGAATATACAGCACCACAGAGATGCAGGAAAATTCTGAGGATGTGTGTGAAGTCTACTTGGATGTGACTGGGAGGATTTTGTGTTAGTTGGGGTGGGCTGCAAATGAAAATCTAAAGCACTGTGAGGCAAGTGCCACTGAAGAGGCATCTGTGTTAGATAAGAACAACGGTCTAAAGTCAGAAGAAGGAAGTGGGAGTGAGAGAAGGTGGAACTCAAGGATGTGTGGAAGTGCTACTGAGGGGGTGGGCTTATGAAACTTTTACCTCCACCTTGTGCACTACTGCATGCTGAATGCTTGTAGATGATGCCACTGATGTAGAATTGAGGGCTGATTGAGGGCTGGGTGTGCACTAAGATCATACTTTATTATGCCTTTCACTAGTAATTTGGCTTTCCAGGCTCAAACTGCAAAACTTTTACCTGGAAGCTTGTCATAGTTTATTTTTTTTATTCCACTGTTGAGTTTGTATTTTTGCTGGAGGAAGAGGAAAATTAGGGTAAAATTATTGAATTGAATACATGTTTTTCAACTGCAATTGTATGAGTGCCTCTCATTCCTTCCCTGTAACTCTCTCCTAGCCCAGAGAGACTGACACCTGCTGGGATCACTACTTGTAGAAGAAAAGGAACCAGGTTAGTTGAGGAGTATAAGAGCTACTGAATATCTTCTGCACCATACATGCAGGTAAAAATAAAACTAGAAACCAAGTACATACGGTAAATGTTTGACACTTACAGTAAGAAAGACACATAATCTGCAAATCAAAGGAGAATGTAACTTCCCAATGCTTGGAGATGGACCTGGGGAAATAACTACCAGAGCTGCTTGCACCATAGCAGTGCATGCAGCTCCAGCCTCAGGTATGTCCTGCCTATCTGACTTGACTTTTGACTCTGTAGTGTGTGGACCTGGAGAAAATCCTCTTTTTGCTCAGGGTATTGCAGGTGACATTCCAGTGTTACTCCATTTTGCAGCACAAACTCCTGGTTTGGACACCCCAGGCCCTGCTCCTAGTCCCATATTTCCCTTAGTGCAAGTCACTGGCTCCATATCTCTGCAATCTTCTGCTAGTCACAGAGAGAAACTCAATTTTGCACCGCAGTTTTTCACAATGAGAGTCATCTCTTCACTGTGGTTATGGTTTCCCATAGTAAGAGACCATAGTTGTCTCTTATTAGCTCCTGTTTGTGCAGTTGCTGCAGCTCATGTGATTCACTGAAAAAAGAGCTTGCACCTGGCACCTGGTGTAAATCCTGATTTTTATTTTCCTTTTGTTTTTCAGTAAATTTTGTTTAGGCTGTGACAAAAGTGCTTGGAAGCTTACTAAAGAGCTTTCATGTTTCTTGGCTTGCAGTCATGTGTTCAGAATTCCCTGCAGTTTCATAAGTTTTTCTTGGCTGTTAACAAAGGGCCATTGTGTCCACTCTGTGGTTTCTTTTCTGTGCAGGTACAGGGATGGGTAGGGAACAGGCACATTTACCTTAAAGGAGCTAGCTTGGTCCAGCCTCAATTTGGAAAACCACTGACAAGACTAAAATAAGATCACTGATTTGAGAAGCGAAAATCTACCATGAAGTAATTCTCCTAGCAGTGCTCTCAGTGAAGACAAATGGCAAAGGAGCCAGCAGAGACTATGAGGACTTCCATGCTCATTGTTAGGAAGTTGCCCTTCCTAACACAAACTGAAGAAGTTACAAACATACCAGCTGAAGTATCTAGGAGAAATGGAGTAATGCTGAGCTCAAGAAGAGATGATGAGAAACTGAAGGGTAATACTAGGCTTGGAAAAAAGCATGCTTAATTTGTAATTGAATTAAACCTTAATAATGGCAAACACTGCTTCTTGAGTTGTTCTGTGCCACTTTGAATACCAGACAAGAGACACAGAGAGATGTAAGCATTTTCTAGTGGGTACATTTTCTGTCAATCTGACTTCAGTGCTCCAAGGGAATAATCTAAGCAGTAAGTTTCACCGGAATGCTTTGAGCATGGAAATGCTTTGTAGGTACAACATACCCATTGCAAGATATGCATGCTGATGTTTATCATTGTGAAACCACAACCTTAGTCATGTTGGTAGACTGTTGGCTTTCATGTTCAAAATAACTGTTGCTGCTGCACTTGCCACTGCTGCTCACACCTCTAAAGTGTTTGCTAAGAAACTAGAGAAAATAGCAGGAGGATCCAAACCCTGCAAACCTTCAGTCTCCAGGTTGCTGATTAGGAGAGTAATGTCTGCCTACAAGAAACACAAACAAATGATAACACATGACTCCAAAAGGGAACTGAAGTCTAATTAGTATACAGAAACTACATCGCTACATCGCCAAACTGGGGCTCAGTAGCCTGGACAAGGGCAGCAGATGATTTGGTGCTTCTAGCTCCTCAAGCTCAACAACAAACAAACAAACAAACAACAACAACAAAAAAAACAAGCAAAGGAAAAGGTGCCAAGAAAGCAGCAAAGACCAAAGAGAACCTGGCACATAGTAGCTGTGACTGTACAGAACATCCCAAGGAAAGCCAAGAAACTGGTAGCCATGGTGGCCAAGAAAGCAATCAAAAGACTAGGGGAATATGAAAGCTGACAGACCAAAAAAGGCAAAGATCCCATCTAAGGGCAAAACAGTGAAACTTGAGACTGCCAAATGCAAAGTCAAGAAATGAAAAGTAGCCCTGGTTAAGAGGGCAGTGCATGAGAAAAATGGGCTACATTGAGCACAAGCAGAGTCTTGCTTCAGGGACACAAAATTCTTTAACTGATTAATTTGTTTCAATCAGGTTTTGCATTTTTGCATGTAGTTCCCTCAGAGGAAGAAAACTCATAATAATAATTAAAATATCCTGATTTGAAAGAAAACTAAACCTTTATATAAATTATGGGGTTTTTTTTTGCTATTTCCTTCAATTCTCTACAGCATGACTGTTGAGGAGAGAGAGCCAATCTCTCTCACAGCAAAATGAGCAGAGGCAACAGATCAGCTGAAAAAAAAGAATTTGTGATTTAAGATCAGGAAAATATTCTCAATTGTACCAGGAGGGCTGTGGATTCTCCATCCTTGCCAGTTGTTTCAAGGTCAGCTGACCTAGGCTTTGAGCAATTTGATTAGTTTTGGTTAGCTCTGCTTGCTGTTAACATAGTTTAATCAATGATCTTAATTGGGATCTCAGTGAGGACACATTTAAAAAACTGTACATTTAATGTACATTTATTCTTACATTTAAGCAGGTGAGTTCTTTTGTTTCTTCTTACTTAGAAACATTTAATACAGATATTTACTTATATATATAATAATATATTTATAGTTTATCTCTTTCTTAATGTCTAATTTGTGAAACATTGTAGTTGGATGGAAAGTGGAATCTTGTTGAAGTATCCAAAAAGACAGTCTGAAAGAACATTTTGTCATTAAATCAAGCTTTGCTCTGTGGATTACTTTTGCCAATTACTTGTTTTATATATGGCAACAGATTGGCAAGTACGTGCAGCTTGCATTTTAACATATATTATTGAAAACATTTATATTAAAAGGAAATCACTTACTTGAACAGGAAAATCATAGAATTATAGAATGGATTAGGTTGAAAGGGAACTTTAATGATCATCCAGTTCTAACTCCCTTGCCACTGGCAGGGTTGCCTCCCACTGGATCAGAGCCCCATCCAACCTGACCTTGAATGCCTCCAAAGATGGGGCATCCACAACTTCTTTGGACAACCTATTCCAGTGCTTCACCACCCTCTGAGTAAAAATTTTCCTCCTAACTTCTAACTTAAATCTCCCCTCTTTTAGTTTAAAGCCATTCTCCTTTGTCCTATCACTATTAGACTGTGTAAAAAGTCAGTCTACTTCCTGCTTATAAGCTCCCTTTAAGTACTGGAAGGATGCAATGAGATCTCCTCAGAGTCTTCTCCAAGCTAAACAAGACCAGTTCCTTCATACTTTCTTCATAAGTGGTACTTCAGCCCTTTGATCTGCTGGCAGAAATACACTGCAAATACAAAAGAGCTCATGAGTCAAAGCCTAACTCTACACAGGTTCAGGCCTGTGCAGATGAGAGCGCCATTTATAGTCACTCAGGCTGAGGTTGTTTTTATTCTAACAGTGTGAAATAAGGATTCAGTAGTGCTAACCAGAAAGAAATATTGATTCTAGGGGATAGAATTGTGCAAGAATGTGCACTGTGTGCTTCAGTCGTGAAGAGTGATGGGATGCTATTAGATGCAGTTTAATGGGCAACTTGGGTCACTGCCATTTTTGTTCTAGAAATACTATCTAAATGTAGTTCTCTTGGACAAGAATGGACACTGCTCAAAGTCCTCCATGCATCGAATGCTCCTTCTTTGTAACTGAAATATGTGCAGTTAGCATCTGATGAATCTACATGAAAGCCAAATAAAGATAATTTTTCTGATCTTCTTGATCTAGATGTATACTATTTAACATAGTAAATCTTTCAGTTCTCCATATTTCTGAGTTAAATGTCACTAGAAAGCAGATTCTTTGCTTATAAAGTGATGTATCACAGTTCTTTACTTACCATTTTACCACCATACCACCTTACCATTTTACTTGGAGACAGTAATTCTTTACCAGTAAGTCATGGCACATGATTGGTTGGAAGACATATCTTCAACACACATCTCAAGTTATCATTGTGCTCTCCAACTATGAACTGTCAGAAAAATGTAGCACAACCATCCATGGGAAATAAAAAATAAAAAAAAAAAAGCTGAGGATAATTTTCTTTATCTGAAAAAAAAATAATGAGCTCCTAGAAAGACCTGTGATTCATGAGTGAAGCAGGTAGCAGCTCAGGAATGAGCTAGCAGGGAGTAAAGAGGTCCAAATGGCAGATTTGGGCTGGAATCAAGTCTACCCACAAAGCTGGAGGAAATACAGCTAGACACAAATAAACTCAGACGCATGAGATTTGCCAAGAAAAACAGAAAATAACCTTTCTTTTAATGTTTTGTGTGTATTATATGGACTCAAGCATTAGAACAGTGTTCTCCTGGGGAGGAGCACCTCTTCCTATCCTTGCTGAAAGCAAGCAACAGAAAGATTTCTAACTATTCCCCAGATTGTATGAATATTTCTATATACTGTACAGTAGATATGTTATGCAGTTATATATCTATATATCTATATATCTATATATCAGCTTATATTCAACTCTAAATACAGGGTGGAGACTTGCCCTAGTCCAATTTCCAAGAGCTCCTTCTAACTTCTCATTTCCATCCTACAGGGGGGCAGGACATGAGGAGGGGGCTTCATAGGCATCCCAGCATAGAAATCAGTGACTGCAAGTTACTCGATCAGTTTTGAGATAAAGTTCTTGGTGCCCTTCTCTCCACATAGATGTGTAATCAGTATAATTTCCTCATCCATCCCTAATCTCTTGAGCCTGGAGTACTCAAGAGGAACATCATCCTCTGTGTACAAGGGCTATGCCCTTTTGTATGTATATGCAGGCACTGCATAATTTGAAATTCTTTGTCCTGTAAAATTTATTAACCGTTAGAGATTTGGCTCATTTAGCCAATTTTGACCTTATATAGAGCAAACATGTCTCTGCAGGATGTCCTTCCGTACATGGAGGATGTAATGCAGCTTCTGTCTGTGTACAGCAGAAATCCAAGTATTGTGGAGAGGCTCTCATCAGTTTTCTGAGAATTCTAACTCTGCACAGCAAACTTATATATTGTGTTACTCTGGTTGTTCAGCAGACCGCTGTTCCTGCCAGGCTGAATGGTACTCAGTTCAGTAGCAGAGTATATTGTGTTGTGAGCATGAATACATGCTGTAGCAAACTATGAGTTAGAGATAGGAACAGTGCCCAGAGTTCCTCACTGATCTGCTGCATTAAGATAGATGCTGAGATAAAGTGCTCCACAGAACAGTTAGGCATGCCACCAAAAGTCACAAAGAGTGATTAAGACTCTTCAGACAGCTCTTCACCACTTCCCTTATCCAATCTCAGAACACTGACCATACACCTGGAAATGTTTTCTGTGCATCTGAAAAGTGAGGTTCTCTAGCAGCCAACAGACATCCAGTGCTACCAGAGTGAATTATTTTCCCAAGGTTGGCCTGTTTCTATGCTCATACCTAGAGATGTATCCACCTCCCCACCAGCACCCAGTTCTGTGCAATACAGCACACAGACAACCTGCAGGAAAACCCAAGGATCCCAGATAATGATTCCTCTACCACATCTCATTCCAGTTTGATTCCTTTCTGTGCAGAAGACACCAGGTCAGGAGGTAGGAACTCAAGTGGAGATAGTGAAAGTGGACTCAGCAGCTGGTGAATATAGACGAAACTAGATCAAACAAGTCATCAGGAGCTAATTCATGGTCTCTTGCCCTGTCCTTCACCACACAAGAAGCAAGTCCCCAGTTCTTTAAGGACACACATGTTTTTGGGGCTCTCTTGGGCTTAGGAACAGATGTATTCATACTTCCTGCTTCCTGAAACTTGTCTGAAATGGGTATCAAGAGTTTTCTTCAGTGGAAAGGGAAGAGCAGAGCAGAGGAGAGAAAAGGAGAGATGAGGAGAGAGATCTCTCTTCTAGGGAACATAATCTTCTTGATAAAAGTATAATGCCATATTAAATCCAGAATTCTTCTTTTTGGTAGCATTTGTGTGAGGGAGACAATGGGCATGAAATGAAGAACTTCCCAGAGGTAGTTACAAATCATCTGCTGCCATACAATGAGGTTTGCCTTGGGTGGAAGACAGCTCACCTCCCAGTTCTGTCACCTCTCTGAATCCAGCAGACACAGAGCAAACTCAGTAGCCATGGAGGACTGGAGAGGAACAGTATGACTAAGAGTATCAGAACTCATACTCGTACCATGCAAGAAGCCTAGGCCAGGGCATAAAGCCTTGTGCATACAGTCTTGCATTCCTCCACATGAGACACAGCTTACGGCATTTCTACCATTGGAGAGGACACCCCATCTCCATTCATGTTTCTCTGCAGAGACAATACACAGATATAAGGACCTCTGGGAAACAAGCCTGCCAAACAGAAACTGAGAGAAAAGGGGAGCATCCCACATCCTCAGCAACAGATTTAGAAAACAGTTGCAGCTACCATGACAGATAGGGAACTCTGTGCGCTGCAGCACTTGAAGAAGAGGATGTGGGAGAAGACAGAGAAGCAAGAAAATGGTGGGGGAATCACAACAAGAAAGAAGGACTTGTCTTGGGCTGTGGGCAGGGGATAATGATTTCTCTTCTCTCTCTTCTTTTTTCTCTTCTACTTCTGGTAGCTCACAGAGCATCAGGCCTCCTGTGCTGCTGCTCCAGGATCTGTTTGCAAGGGAGATATGGGAGTTGCCCAGATCGGCGGAGACGTCGAGAAGGTAGGCCAGCCAGCTGGCGACAGATCTCATCTGAAAACAAAGCACATAAATACATGCTGACAGATAATCAAAACTTCCTTCAAACTTGTCACTACAGAAAATTTAGGAGTATATTCTTCACTGTGCCTGAAGAAACTGTTATAACTGCTGAATCCTCACATATAGGAGGCAAGTGAATAAAACCTTAGGCTTTTTTTCATTTTCTTCTGACTTTATTAATATATAATATATATAAAAATCATACATCTTTTGCTGCAACAGCAAAGACTACATAAGAAATCTAGATTTTTTTTTTTATTATTTATGAATAGAAATACTGAGAGTTACTCTTTAACCTCAAAGGAATATAAGTTTGAGTAAAGGCTTGTCTGGGGTTAGCAGAGCATGATGAAAACCAAGCAAATTCAAGGCACAATTAAGAGCTCTCAAAATTTTGGTAGTATAAAATCTGCCTCCCATGCTTTTCATGGCATGTGTACTGGATGCAAGCCTGCACTGCATTAGAGTTCCCCCAAAATTAGTCTAGGGAACATACTACATGTAGATTGGGACTGGGAAATGTTAGTTTGGAGACAGTATCAGATGGCTGCAATTATTCTTCTATTCCCTCCCCTACGCTATCTTGTACTGTAACTCACCTTGCATGACTTCATTTTCCTTGCAGACAATGCGAGAGCACACCTCTTTGTTTATTACGTACATGCGACGCACACTGTAAGATCACCAGGAGAATGCCAAGGACAACAGAGAAAAGCACAGGAATAAAAAGAAACAAAAAAGAGACAGGCAATAAACATAAACTCATGTTTATATTCATGATGAGGAGGCAAATCCTAAATCTTTTTGGAACGATCAGTCCAGAATAAGGCTATCATCAAAAGAATGGTAACCTTTGTCAAGTCTTCATGGTATGGCCAAGTGACTTATATGAGGATTACAATATAGGACACATAGTAGCTCCTTAGTGCTGCTCAGATAATAGATGTTATATTGTTTTAATTAAGAACTTTAAAGGGCAGCTCTGAGGGTAGGATTAATCTCACCAACTGGTCTCACCAACTTGAAGGAAGGTGTAGTTTCCAAAGGAAACAATTGTTGAACTGGATGTGCCATTTTTGGAGGGTTTTTAGGGCTTTTCTTGGAGACTGCAGTTTTCTTACCTGGTAACACAAAGGTAGCTGATACACTGCTTTACTGGTTTGTGAACGGAATACAGGCGTGTGCAAGGGAACTGTTCCTCACGACAATCTGAGAACACACGTAATACACAGAGGTTCAATCCAGCATCACTGGCAGTTGTATGCATTCCGGACGCATATTGTTTTACTAGGTACTGTTTTCCAGGCTTCTAGTGAAAGCTGCTAGCAACTATTTTCCATTCTCATGTAAGAGCTGGGAATGTCTTAGAGAAGAGAAAAATAAGGCAAATATTTCTGATCACCTTTCCTCATAAGATAAAAGTAAGGGAAAATGAAGTACAAAACAACCCTACTGGGAATCCTCAACATGGAAGGCATATTCTTTGAAGTGGACAGATACAAATAAACAAAACATAAATTATGGTTGCACATTTAACTTGTTTCTAATAGATCTATAGTCTTTCACTTTGGGATACAGACTTGGACAATCAAGCCCACTGACTGGGGTTAACTATAATGAGTTTTCTTGAATTTCCTTCTGACATACCACTTAACATGCCTGGTTTTGTGATCTGCCAATTTTTCCCACCTTGGGCAAGCCACCCAGTGAAAGATTTCCATTTCTACTACTACCATTATCTAGTACCCTTAATACAAGGAACAGGATGAAGTGAATTTTCCAGCAGGTCTGAGGAGACAAAGTTTGGTGCTCAGGCAGCACCCACCTGGAGAGGTAACAAGGTGGGTGAAAGTGAGTCAGTGAGAAGGTGCAGGCAGCAAACTTAAACATACCTGATGAAGCTGTTGTAGTTTCACTGTCAGACTGAACTGAAAGACAGAAAGGTAGCAAAATTAGTGTGGTTTCCTAGACATTGGCTTATTTAAAAAAAAAAAAAAAAAAAAAAAAAAAAAAAAGTAAAGCTCTTTCAAAAGTCCTCTTTTGTAACTTCTGATGTGAAAAAAATTTCTTTGTTACTTGCACAAAGTAATAAAAAGTACAAACCCAGTGTGAATCTAGTGTCAGCTATTGAGCCAACAATGGTAAAAATCTGTCCAAGCTTTAGCATAAAGCATTACCACTATTGTTCAAAATCACACTGTAAAAGGCATCCTGAATTATAATTCAAAAGCTTGAGTACATGTCACAGTAATTGCCATCCATTTTGACAAGCAAAGAAGCTTGTGACTGGCTTTTACTAGCTGGACCAGCTGTTTTTTTAATGCCCATGACAAGAAAGCAAAAGGAAGTTGGTTTTATTGTTCCCTGTTATAAACCAATACACCTGTACCACAGTAAAACAGTACATTTTATTGTTTACCCAGTGACAAACTGGAAAGGGACTCAGACAACTTGCCAGATGCAAGTTTTCATCAGTGGTAATGGAAAACTCCTGCACAGTTCCAGTGTCAACCAGAAACACAGATAATATAAACGGGCATCTACAAAAAGAGTCTCCTGGGTACTGGGGCTCCAGTTAGGGACTTTCAGGATTTCAGCCTCTTTGTTCCTCCCACAGTTCTGCCAATGGCTCATCACTACTGACCTGTAGACATAACACATGTTGTTCATACATTCATCAACAATCTGATTTTTCAGATTAACTGCAGGCTTCTGTGAATATGCTGGGTTTTCTACAGCTGTTGGGATGCTGTAGGGCAGAGATGGATTCCATGGCACATCCTCTCTGCAGAGTTTCTTCTTGATCCTTCCACAGTATGTATTTTGAAAGAAAAGTTTTCTGTCAAGGCCTCATATTTAGCCTTCTCAGGTCTAGAAGCAGGTTAGCCACAGTAATTTTGTTGTGGACACAGAGTGCATTTATCTATCCTACTACAGACCGTCCAGTCTCACAGACCGAATGTGAGATTCATGTATGTTGCAGTCACCTCACACCAGCCACCAGGAAGATCAAGAACTACGTGAACATCATACTATGCTTCCACTTTTCTCTGCCTGTGTTTTCCCAGTGTTTTCTGCTTAACCCATGATATTCTAGACACTGATTCCCCTGGGGCAATCCCCACAGCAAGACATGGCTCTCATATTTGCATGATGTAAGCCATAGCTGTCCAACCTTTTGGCTTGCCTGAACTGCACTGAGTGAAGATAAATTGTCTTAGGCTGCATATACATAGGTTGCTCTGAAAGTAATACCTCCTATTTATTTCCATGGAAACTACAACAGATACAATGAGAACAGTAATTCTGCTTGATAGAGCAAATTCCTAGCAACAAAACAGTATTTTTCCAACATAGTTACTACCATTATGCAATGCTATGCATTTTCACCTGCGATGAACAAGAGGATGCATGCCAGGCTTGTTAAAATCTGCACCGGTGGAGGTGACCCACTGTCACCATTGCTGAAATGCACTACTGTGCTCACATCTAGAGACATCACTGGTCTCTAGAAATGTTCAGTGTCAAAGAAAATCAGTTTGTTGTTGTTGTTGTTGTTGTTTCTTTCTTTGTTTTGCATGGAGAAATTCAGTGACATACTCCTGCTTCTTAAGTACTTCAGTGTCAGACACTATTTTGTCAGACTGCCCCTCTGCTGCCATCTGTCGCACATCAACAAAATGTAACAGCATATTGGTGGGAAGGTTCAACCTCTACTGTCATACCACCAACATCCACCTCTGATGTCACGGGACAACATAATAAAACAGCAGGCATTACATTCAGAACAGCCCTTGTAAAATATATGCTATTGGGAGAGAAACAAAAACATGAAGCTAGTGGGATATTTGACCATATTTTTGTGAAACTAATGCATCAATCTGGCTCGATGGCACTGGTTGCAATTCTTTGCGAGTTATCACTGTACTCATCAGAGATTTTTAAGTAAGTTTTACTCTTCCTGTTCCTCATCCTTGACAGTAGTTGCTCACAAATGTGCATACTGCCAAAAGCAATGACATGAGTAAGGCATGACTGTGAGCAAGGGATATTTTTCTCTGTAAGGAGAGGTCTTATAAAAGTCTAATAAACAGATATGATCATTTTTTCCAGTTGAATATTTGATTGAAACTCTATACATTCTATTTGAAAGTTTGCAGGTGATGTATTTATGTTGACTGAAAATGGAGTCACAAACATAAACTGGTGATTTTTTTGGCAATCTTGAAGCCTGCTCTTAAATTCCTGTATCAAAACAGAAAGCATGGCTGTGTATTTTTCGCTGTTCACAGGACTGTGTTTAGCCAGTGTATCAAAATGCAGAAAATTATTTGCAAGAACTTGAGTCAGCCCTGAACTGCACCCCCCCCGTGCCCTAATTTCAGCACAGACAGTGCCAATCACGTACCGATGTTTGATTGTTGAGAGCGACGAGTGCGCACCCGGCCACTCGACGGGGAAGAGCCGCCACCAGGGGGCGGGCCACAATGCGAGCCGTGCCGGGCCGGGCTTGGACCTGCCTGAGTAAGTGCTCATCTGGAGTGCCCCCCATTTCCCGTATTTTTCACCTATATTTTGCCACTTCCCAGTGGCACTCCCCACCCACATTAGCTGCAGGTGCGGCAGGGAGTACAGGTGAACCTGTGGCCAATTTCTCTCCCTTGTCACTTAGTCTCTGCTTACTTCCTCTGGAACTTCCTCTGGAAGCTCAGGCTGTGTAAGCTTCAGATTTCATGGCTTCCTGCATGGCAATCAACTTCAGACAGTTTTGAGTACACCAGATGAAGCCAGCAATTCCTTGGAGAACAAATCATTAGCTATCTTTATTCACTTCCCTGCATGGTGCACAGAAAAGACTCTCTGAGAGCCATAAATTCTGGAAGAGCACTGCCAGATGTCAAAGGTGGGGAAGAGGGGTTTCTTAACATCTGGGGCAATATAAGTGAGAATAAAGGTGAACAGGGGGATAAAGAAGGCTGAAGTTGCTGAAAGGTAAGTACTTACCAGGGGTGCTGATGAGAGAGCTTGTGTGAACATCACCTGGAAAAGAGAATGTCACAGAATCACAAGATCATGGGGGTTGGAAGGAACCTTTGGAGGAGTTCATTATATTAGATAACATCCAGGTGGATTTTGAATATCTCCAGAGAAGGAAACTCCTCAACCACTCTGGGCATCTTGTTCAAGGGCTCTATAAACCTTATAGTGGATAAGTTTTTCCTCATGTCCATATGGAATTTTCTATGTTCTAGATTGTTCCCACTGCCTCTTGTGCTGTCACTGTGCAACACTGAAAAGAGCCTGACCTCATTCACTTGACTCCCACCCATTCGATATTTATAAGCATTGATAAGATCTGCCCTCAGTCTTCTCCAGGCTGAGCAGGCCCAGGTCTCCCCCCCTTTCCTCCTAAGGGAGATTCTCCAGTCCTGTAATGATGTTTATAGTCTTCCACTGGACTGTCTCTTTAAGTTCCCTGTCTTGAACTGAATTGCCCAGAATAGGACACAATACTCTAAATGTGGCCTTACCAGAGCAGAGCAGAGGGCAAGGATCACCTCCTTCAGTCTACTGGCCACATTCCTTTTAATGAACCCTGGGATATCACTGACCTTGGCCACAAGGGTACCCTGGCTCATGGTCAACTTGTTGTCCACCAGGACACCTAGGTCCTTCTATGTCCTGAGAGAGTTTGTCTTTACTTTTGCTGTTCCTTACATGACAAGCTATAGCTAGCTTGAATTATCTTGGCTACTGTGGTAGGCTCAGGAGAAAGTGGGATTCAATCCAGTAGGTACATAAATGTAGTGAACTCATCCCATCCTTATCCATTGCTTTCCTCAGTGACTGAACTGGAATTGGAATGCTTAGTGTTCATGTTTGGCTGTAGATGTCCCTTGACATCTTGAACAAGGGAGTGGGAGTGGATAATCCTTAATGGTCCCTTCCAACTCAACCAGTTCCATGGGGGTTGCTTCAAAAGTAATGCTTACTATTTTATTTTGGTGGCCCAGAACACCACACGTAAACACTGATGGCATGGCAGTAAAAGTTGAACCTTCCATCAATCTTCTTCTATATTTTGTTGTTGTGTGGCAGATGGCAGCAGAAGGGCACTCCGGCAAAATGTCATCTGACATGGAAGTGTGTATGAAGCAAATGTGTGTAATTGAATCCTCAGTGTTGGAAGAAATTGCACCCACTGACATTCATTGATACTTGCTGAATGTTTCTGGAGAATGAACAGTGAATGCTAGCACAATGAGGCAGTAGGTGGTGTGTTTCAGAAGAGGTGGTGTGTTTCACATCAGACAATGATGTGAAAGACAAACCAATGTTCTTGACAGCAATGTGAATTTTTACGAGTGCAGCATGCAGGCTCCTGTTTATCACTGGTAAAAATGCATAGCTAATGGTGGAGACTATGTAGAAAAAGAGTGTTTTGTAGCTGAAAATTTTCTGTATCAAACAGTATTATTGCTCTCTTTGTATCTGTTGGAGTTTCTATGGCAATAAATAGGAGGCATTACTTTTGGAGTGAACTATGTATGATCCTATGATGTTACACTAAACCCTTACTGAACTCTGGTTTCATATTCTGATTTCTCAGATATGGCCACTGTAGGCATCATGATTGGAAGAAAAGTCTTCTAAAGCTAAGGCACTGATGGCTCCTGCAACAGTAGGACAGACAGCTGGAGTGTTCACTGCATGTTAGGAGCAAGGCGGCTCTAAAATCTAGACTGTAAGAATTCATCAGCAGATGAGTTTCTCTGAAAGGCAACAGATGGCAAACTGAGGTAGGTGTGATGGAGGGACAAAGTGTGAAGGAAAGGGGAGCTTGGCTGACACATTTTGGACTGGCCTCTGAATTGTTTTCCAAAATGTCTAAAAGCTTACTCAGTTGCTTCAGTTTGAAGAAAAGTCAGGCTCTTATGGTCCCTCTAAGTGCTGAAACATGATGCAAATATACATTTATTTTATGTTATTATGTCACAGAAATGGAAGAAATAAGGTACAAAGGGATGAAGCAATTTACCCCCAACAACACATTCAGCATAAAAATCAGTTAATATCCTTTTCCAGCAGTCTTGCAGCTAAAGTATATCACGCACCATTTTGCTCAGGATTTTCCTGAGCAGTGGTTAAGTTGCTCCTGCTTCTCACTGCTTAAGAAATGTGATCTTACAGCCCTTGCTGTAACTTCATGCAAACCCCAACATTACTTATAAAAAGCACATAACATTTAGCAGGTTATTTTAGAAGCCTTCCCTGAAAGACAAGTTACAGTGTCAGAGGCAAGGAAACAAAGAACAGCATTTGCAACTAACCAGACTGTAGCTATATAGGACAATGAAGTCACATTAGCATTCTTTCATATATTAACATGCCAGTAATATTTACCAGTTACACTTTCCAGTTCTTGTCCGTTGACCACCCATGGAAACCAGCCTGCAAGGAGAGGAGAGTGAAGAAAGGAGAGGGATTTCTATAAGAAGTCTTCATGAAGTTTGTTAAGAGATGCTTGTTTATCCAGGAGACACCACCCACTGCTGAAGGGAGAAATGCTCTTTCTTCTGCCTTAACCCCCCCTGCTGGCTGGTTTTCTTCTTTAAAGGCATTCAGATACAGTGAATCCTTATTCTCCATCTGCTGCTTCCACCAGAATTGAAGTCTGGGCAGAGTAAGAGACTGTAATTACCTCCAAATTGACTTTGCACTTCTGCAACACTCCTTGATGTATTTTGGTAACAAATTGCTCCTTACCTCCCTGCTGAGGTTGGTCAAAATCTCTATCTGTTTTAGATAAAAAAAAAAAAGAGGAATCCGACTCATAGAAATTGTTTGCTTGGGGTCACAAAAGTTGTGTACATTGGCACAGTAAGCAACAGATTGCATGCCTCTTTTAGCAAATAATTATCTGGTCCATCATCCTCCCTGAGTACTGAGCAGAGTAGAAGATCTTTTCCACACTCAGGGAGGCTTGGCTGTGTGTGCTGTGTGGCAGAGGAGGAATTGAAATGGACTGCTCATTTATCCAAACATAATGGGTGAAAGAGCTGCTTTCTCCAGGAGCCAGGAATATGAAAATATTTCCTGCTAGACACAGAGAGGGAAAATGTTTCCGTACTTAGAGATGGGTTGAAGGAAAGAGTTGGCAGGAAAAAGACAGTGATCTGGGGCTCTGCAGGGATGTGTGCAGGACCAGCCCAAGACACAGTACATCCTGCTACATCTTATGGACTCAGCCTTTAGCTTTCTACTCTTACTGCATGAGTAAAGACCATCTGGTCTGGGGTTTTATTCTCAGCCCTTCCTCATTCCAAGAGCCATTACTTGCAGAATGCAGAAGAACTCTTGGGATTTCTATTCAATCATATTCTGTGGCATAAAAGGACTATTCTGTTCCACACCCAGCTGCCAGCAAGGGCTCAGCTGCTGGTTGTTGATCCAGGGAGAGCCAGATACATATCATTTACATACACAGGGTAGTGGAGTCCCATACTTTTCCAGTTCTGGTTAATTTCTTAATGGTAATAAGCATAGGCAAAAGATCTTCACTTTCTTGATAAAAAGCAAGGACTTGGGTTCTGACCTAAAAACAATTTTTAATTTTGAAATGACAGTTTTACTAGCCTTTCTTCCCCCTGCAAGATGACTAGAAAACTGGATCAATTCTAAAATGACAGGACATGAGTGAAGTAAAACCTCAGAGTACAAGGACAGGGGACAAAAGAGGTGAATTTCTAGACAGATTTTCAATTACTTCAATCTGTATTTGTTCCGGTAATCAATTCACATGCTTTATAAATGCTTGCATATTATTGTCCAGGTTGCAGTAAATTCACCCTTGAGGTCTGACAAAACTGCAATCCTAACTCACCAATCTGTAGATGAACCAAAACTGAAAAAGACAATGAGAGACCAGATGGTGGTTACTGTTATTGTCCGAGTTAAAACAGAATTCCTAAAACAAAATACAGAAAAGTAAGAAATCCTCATTTAAGGTCTTCTTCTGTGCATCACAGACTTTTTACCTTCAGGAGCCAGCTCTTGGATGCCTCTCCTCCTAATTCAGTCATAAACATAACATCCTCTTTGAGATAACTACTATGCATGCTTACAGGAAAAAAATTGTTATGGGAGCAAAACTGAACTCCAATTAAATCCTTATGCAGTCACCAAAAACAAAGGAAGTGCATCTCCAGCCATCTCATACAGCATGAGAGGAGTACTGATGAGAGTAGATTGGAATGATCTGCTTTGGATGTAATTGGTGCAGTAATCGGTCTCTTACATGCAGTCATTCTGAGGTTAAACTTTTTCCACTCATTGGAGTTAATCTTTTGCTGTCTATTCTGAGAATTCTGAGTGTGCTGTCTCATGCTGATCTCTCTTTTTTTTTTTTCTTCTTGAAATTTGATTGAATTTTTGCCAAAGATACACCAACAAAAGGATGAAGCAACAAAACAGAACAAAACCAAAATAAAGTGGAAGCTAGGTTTTCAAAACAGAAACACAAAGATGGACAAAATTTACTGGCAATGAGAAGACCTATCTAGAAGTGGGGGCACTCCAGCAGTAACCACTGGTGACATTAACTTTTTCACAATTACAACAGAATACATTTTGTGGAGTATTGGGAAATGCTCTGTAGATCATGCAGACACAGGTTGTCAGCTCTGTGAAGTGCAGCACAATCTATAGCATAAAGCACTGCTAATTCTCTTTCTAAACTCCAGACCTGGGTGTTCTGCTTACTCAAACATTGCTATAGTGCAAGCTTTGGATCTCTGTCTCATGACTCCCACTATTCAATGGGGGGTTGAACCAGTCCCTAGTTCCTAAATTTTTCCTTATAGCCCTATATCTACCTTTTTCTTTCCTGTTCAGTCCTTCCCCCTTCACCATCCTTCTACATGTCTTTGTCTTTCTCCTTAGAGCTTTGCATTTTAGCCTATGCAGGACATTCCATGCAGCCAGGGTGGAGAAGAAACCCTCCCCTCGGAGTACAGACTCACCAGCTGGGGACAAGGAGAAAGCTAAGAGACACAGTGCTGTAAAGGTTGCAGAGGTCTTCATCCCTGTGGAGAAGAGGAGAAAGGGGTCAGAAAAAAAATTAAAATGTGAGCAGAGATATTCTCCCTTGTAGCCCAGAAATTTTGCTTGCTGCCTCCATTTCCCTCTAACAACTATTTGTTCTTTCTAGCTTCTCTCCCACTGTCTCCCTTCCAATCTGACCAGTTTTCCAGACATTTCTTAAACATTTTGGACTGAATGTAAAACTCCATCTGCCTTTTTTTCTCTTTTCACCTTGTTTCAGCTTCCATCCCTTTTCTTATCCAGATTGCTAAGCCCCCTCTGCATGCAACCCCAACATGCAAAGAATCTTCTTCCTCCCTTCTCTCCCACTTTAACAGTGTTTTAAGGGGAACTGAGAGAATACATAGGATTCCCATCACTTACTGCTGCCCTTGGTCTCCGCTTGTTTCAGCAGCAGATGCTCTGTCTTTCTCCTTTAGCAGTTCCCCCCACTTTGGCTATTGGGTAAATCAAATGCAACCACACCCAGAACATGCTCTACTTTTGATTGTCTTCAAAATACAATTTTGAGGGGGGGGAAAAAAAAAAAAAAAGAAAGAAAGAAAGAAAGAAAAAGGAGAAGCCAGTGAGATGGTGGGATGTGGTGTCATCATGCAGCTGGAATGAGGGGGGGGGGGGGGGGGGTAGTGTGGAGCAGCAGCCCACACCCTCATTCCAGAGTTTATTATACTCCAAAGGAAAACTGCTCCTCCCATTCCCCTAGGATGGCCCAGCACCAGAGACGGATTCTTGTGCCGACGTTAAACATTCCCGTCTTGCTTTGTCCTCCAATGCACTGCTTTCGCTCTCCCTTCTCTCTTCTACACGAAGCCCCATTTTCCCACTTAGCTGTTCCCTCGATCCTCTTTTTTAACCGTTTCCCTGTCTCGTCTTTGTACACTGACAATATGCAGCCCACTCTATATTTTCCGAAACAACATGCTCGGCTCGCCACGGTGACACGATGGGTTCTAGTTTTCCCCCATGTTCCCCAGGACTGTAGTATTCCAGATAGACGGCCCTATCAGGCATGCGCTGCAAATGATGCTGGCCAGGAGAAATCCGAAACCGTTTAGCCAGAGGGACCAGAAGCCAGAGCGGCGGACGGGTCGGCGCACTTCGGCACGAGAACAGGGCGGATAGGGACGGAGGGACGGGTAGCTGGACGGGAAAGGATATTCCCACTGTGGCGAAGAGGGGTGCAGAATGACGGCGAGCACAGGGCGGCCCCGGCCGCGAGATAGGGGGCAGCGCTTGCACAGGCAAAGGCACAGTGCCACCATTCCCCCCGCCCTCCGCGCGCAGATATCTGCCTGGCCGTCAACCAAACAGCTGGCAGAAACAGTGATGACATCAATCGCCGCCCCGCGCCAGGGCGGGAGGAGTGTTCCTGTTCTCATTTCTCGGCAGTCGGACGGGGGCGGGAGTTGGGAATTGGATGGAGGTGCAGATGTGATGGGGACGGGGACGGGAGCAGAGAGAGAATGAAATGGTGAAAGGGATGGAGATGAGGATGGGGCGGCGATGAAGAAGTGGTAGGGAAGGGGATGGGCACAGCGGTGGATGGGAATAGGGTGGGGATGGCGATGTAGAAAGAAATGGGTAAGGGGAAGGGGTTGGAAATAAGGATGGGCATGGGAACGGGAAGGAGAGGGGGATGGACATAGGGATGGGATGGGGAAGGGGATGAGGAAAGAAATTGGGGTAGGATGGGGATAGGGTTGGGGATAGGCATAGGGTTGGGGAAACGGGTGAGGATGGGGATGGGAATCACGAACGGGAAGGGGGTGGGAATAGCGATGGGATAGGGGATGAGGATAGGAATAGGAATGGGAAGCAGATGAGATGGCAGTGGAGAGGGAGATGGGGAAGAGGATGGTAATGGTGCTGTCAGTGTAGATTGTCCTGTTCTGGAGTTGTGTGCAAGGGGGACAGGGAGAAGATGCTGGGCAGGGGTCAGCTCTGCAGCACCACTGCTGTTCTGGCCAGTCTGGGAAGGATGGGGAGCATGGAAAGTGTGTGCAAAGGGAAAAAGTGGCAAAATGGGAGAGATATAAACAAACTGCAAAAAGAAAAGTGAGGAATGAGGTGTGAGCCTCACTGATGCCATCCTTCAAAATTCCTTGTGCTGCACCTCCAAGGACACTGCACATTACAAATGAAGGGAGCAACACAGGTAATCCTACTGCAGTTCCCACTAACTCCCAGCCCTTCCAGCAGCCCTGGCAGCTCCTGCCTCCTGCTGCCTTCCCAAGATAGGGGATGGCCCAAGCTCCCTTCCTTTACAGCAATGGAGGACAGGAACATTGCACGGGAAAGATGCAGGCTGTAAGGCTCACCCTAGTTCGCAACAAATTGAAAACTAGGAACAGTGCGTAATTGGAAAAGGAAATCCTTAGTATGTCCTAGCTGTCACAAGGGATCCGAAGTGTTACCTCATGCAACAGAACTGAAGCCAGCACCTCTTACCTAACAGCAGCTGAGCAGCAGCTTAGCAATGTTTGTGGCAGTGCTTGCAAGAATAGACAACTGCCTGCTTGCTTATTCCTGGTCCTTCTAGGTCTCAGATGAAAAACACTGGTAGTGGGCAGCAGCAAGACATGGGTACGGCGAATGGGGAAAACTGGACATTTATTATCCTGCTCAACAGGGTAGTTCTAAAGTAAATCTAGATACTGTTTCACTGGTTCTAGATACCACCTGTCTCACTTGTAGGGATCAGCCAAAACTTACTACTGGAGATTCCAAAAGGTAATAAAACAAGCAAAATAAACTGCTGGAAGCTATAACTGCTCATTGGTTAGAGGAATCCTCTCAGATCCAAATAGCAGTATGTTTGGGCTATAACTTTCCACACAGCTTCGTTTACCGTTTGTTTCTCTCTTTGCCTCTTTCAGAGTAGCATGGGTGATTAAAATCTGAGAGCCGCTTCAAAAGTAATGGCTCCTATTTTATTATGGTGGCCACAACATCAGAGGTGAATGCTGATGGTATGGCAGTAAAGGTTGAACCTTCCCACCAATCTTCTGCTACATTTTGTTGCTGTGTGGCAGATGGCAGCAGAGGGGCACTCTGACAAAATAGCATCTGACATGGAAGTGTGTATGACGCAAATGTGTGTAACTGATTTCCTCCTCGTTGGAAGAAACTGCCCCCACTAATATTCGCGGACACTTGCTGAATGTTTCTGGAGACTGAACAGGGAATGTTAAAACAATGAGGTGGTGGTGGTGCATTTCAGCAGTGATGACAGTGACATGAAAGACAAGGCATGTTCCAGAAGACCATGTAGATGATTTTTATGAGTGTGTCATACAAGTTCATCACTGATAGAAATGCATAGCTAATGGTAGACTACGTAGAAAAACAGTGCTTTGTAGCTGAGAATTTCTCTATCAAACAGTGTTATTGCGATCTTTGTATCTGTTGGAGTCTCTATGGAAATAAATAGGAGGCATTGCTTTTGGTGTGACCTACTTTTTGCAGATGAAGACTGTGTGAGTTCTGAAATACATTTATTTGAAAACTTTCACTGATGTCATATGTTGTGGTCTAGCATGTACTGATATATCACTATATACCACAGACTGCAGAATTCAGCTCGGGTCCTGAGGAAAGTTTCTTCGAATTACATTTGAGCTTTGAGTCTTTTTCATACTGGAGGATTGTGTTCTCTCTAGGCTGATCAGTATATGTTAAGACTGTTTTTAGAGCTTGCTGCGGATTGGTGGGTGCTCATGATGTTGCAATGGATGGCTGTGAAGCATCTCGTTATCTTACACACCAGACAGACGGCAGTAAAGATAAATGGATGCATCCTGCTGTATTTGCTTTCTCCGGACACTGGAGGGAGCTGCAGCATACCAGCTTGGCAAGCCACACTTTTGCAGTCCAAGCACGTTCTTGGGAAGTGGCTCTGTTTCTGCAGGCCCTTAGCTGGCACGAATGGTCTTCTTTTAGTTCTCCCATTTTCTGCTGCATTGGACTCACAACTCTTCAACCGTTTTGATTTAGGGGCATCTTGTTATTTTTCCCCAATCTCTGCTCTGTGGCATTCACAAAGATGGCTAGACAGCCCTCAATGTTTGTAGATAAGAATAATTAACGTAATCCTAAACCTTCCCTTCTAATCCACTTTCCTATCTAATTCTTTTCATGCAGCTGTCCTTCTCCAACAGAAGTACCTTGGGGACATTTGCAGCAATCTGGCAGATGACTCAAGGTGAAATTCTTCCCTCTCAAAAGTCAGATCTCAGTGCCACAGCATGATGTGAAAGAGACCTGTGCTGCAGTAAACTGATACCTTAAATCAGTCAATCAGGAAACTAAGACTCAAACTGGAGTGTTAGAAAGCAGGTGTTCTTTAATATCAGTGCTGGATATGTAGGGGTTGTCCTACATGCATGGCTTACACAAAAGATCTTATATACATTAGGTTATATACATTACATGTTTCACATATGCTAATGTTTCCCAGAAGTATGTTACATGTTCAGTGACTTAATTCCAATCAGGACCTCCTATTTCCTCAGTACAAAGATTCAGCAGAATTTCTGTATCTCCTTGGTTCAGATACATAGCTCTTTCTGTAATCTAAACAAATTGCAGGGCAGGGTTATCTAACAATGAACACTAGCAAACTTAACAAAATCATTGTATCAAACAGCACGAGTAACTCATAAAGGAAATGTGTCCACATCCATAACACGTGCCCTAAGCTGAGCTAACCCCAGCACCTGTATGTGTTTACCTAAGAAGATATGCAGTGACAGTGATTCAGCAAGTTGTCTTCTTTTCAAGTACTTATGGCACAAAGATGCTATAGCAATGGTAGCATGATATTTTGGATAAGACACAAAATCAGCCTTCCCAAAAATGAAAATCTCCTGGTGTATTTCACCCTCAGAGATGACTGCATCTCAGCAGACAGGTGCACATCATTTGCAAAGGTCCTGGGGAGGCATTTAAATGCCAGATGAATTCATTCTGTGTGTCTCTGGTCTTTGCATATCCTTGCAATAAGTTACATCTGAGTAATAAGAAATTAACGGACTGCTCTAAGATGCTTGAATGTATCATGTAGTATTTTGTGGTTACTTGAATTGGGGCTGGTGAAATGAGTTTTCTTGGAATATATATTGATGACTTCTTGTTTCTGATGGGCTCCACATCTGTGGTCTGAAACTATCCTGCAGCTGTCTCACTGCTGTAGCTGAGGTCATCAGTGGAGAGGAGGAATGAGCTCAAAGCCTGATCCGTCTGTCCCCAGTTTTGGGAGGTTCAACTCTGACTTCATATCCAGTTCACTGTAGAAGGGGAATACTACACCTCTTGTTGAGTGACAATAATATTTTATGCTGTTTGTGTCTACAAGGATAAGGGATTCTTCACCCCTTTATTTCCAAATAAGCAGGTTTGCCTTGCGATGTCTTGCAGTCACATAATACCCTAGGGGAGTCCATGAAACTAATTAATATATGCTCAGCTCCTCTGAATCATTTCAACACTTGTGAAGAATGAGAATAGGCAATCAGTGAGCTCTGGGCTGTTCGGTGATTTGGCCTTGTTATTTAGGCTTTTCATGGCCAACAAGCCTGCAGTGAGAAGTTGCCAGGATGCTCCTTTCTCCTTGCTGTGCTTTGGCATTCAA